GTACTGGAACTCTATGGATGACTATGCCAAGAAATCTTCACCAAGGAAAAATAGAGCTAGGTTTTTTTTTCTCGATAGTACTCGGAAACCTTTCCCGTGGGTAGGAAGAGAAGAATTAATTTTTTTCGAACTTGGGAGATCATCAGTGGGTTTGCATTGCGTTTTATGTATTCATTGGAATGTGATGTATTCCTCTGGAAGGAATTCAGTTTTCAATCATATTCAGTATGACAGCCTTTTTCACTAATAAACGCAATACTTTCAGGGCTGAATCCATTCTTGTGGTTCAGTGTGATGGGATATCCATATTCCAGCAGGCACGAAATTGCATTGCCTTCAGTTCCTTCACATGATGAACGTCACAGAAGTGATATAGCATTCCTGCCATTTCCTGTTTCGTGTCCTTTCCTGCAATTTTCTCGTATCCTGACTCACACCGGTCCTTGGGAGCGCGATAGTATCAAAACAAGGACACAAGTGATCCGCGAATCGCGACCCCTGTCGCGCCAGACGGCGGGTCACCTTGTGACTGGAACCTTGCCTGCACCAGTTCCATTATGTGCATGTTGCAGCCGGTTCGGTGTGTGAAACAGGTGAACTTCTGGAAGAAGAAAGAAAATGACACTACTTTCCGCCGTTCGGGAATCCCACCCAAATTGCAAAACTGAAAAGGAACGCCATCGAAGGAAATCAGAAATTGAAATCGATTAGGAAAGAAAATTTTAAACCATTTATTGATATCGTCCACCACTTATCAACATCGAGTCAACAATTCCATTCAGACTTGGAACAAATCTCTCACATTTGTTCTCAGTCTCCACCGAATCGAAGATGCTCTTAATTAATATTAATCTTATCTAATTAACATTAATCTTATCTAATTAATATTAATCTTATCTAATTAATATTAATCTTATCTAATTAATATTAATCTTATCTAATTAATATTAATCTTACCTAATTAATATTAATCTTATCTAATTAATATTAATCTTATCTAATTAATATTAATCTTATCTAATTAATATTAATCTTATCTAATTAATATTAATCTTATCTAATTAATATTAATCTTACCTAATTAATATTAATCTTACCTAATTAATATTAATCTTATCTAATTAATATTAATCTTATCTAATTAATATTAATCTTACCTAATTAATATTAATCTTATCTAATTAATATTAATCTTAATTATTAATCTCATTAGCTCTTAATACTATCGATGTTTTTAAAGCGTTAGCGCTAAAATAACATGGTTGCATGAGTCGAAACAACGCTGATCAATTGCTGGAATGAAATCTAATCGTTTCCGTATGACCACTTTCCGAAAATGGCTCTTTTTTTGCGAATAAATGAAACTCATGTTTGCTCAAAGTTCATACTTATCTCAATGAATGCGACGGCGATGATATTATGGTACTTCAGAACCCCAGGAAAACATCCGAATTGCCCTGTACTATTGCCCTATTGCCTTATTGCCCTATTACTGTTTTCTTTACATTCATTCACTTCCTGGAAAATTCATTTTTTTTAAATGAAAGTTATAATATCCTTACTAAAAACAGGTCTCTACTAAGTTAGAGGTTAGTCTCTTCTAAAAGATGTTGAACCCAATCACTCCCCAGCGTGAGTCATTGGCACCTGACCAGGTCAACAAATTCATCTGGGACTTTTATAACAACGTGTCGGATAATTAAAGAGGAAAGAAATGAAATCAACCTAACTCTCGAATCTCTCCTGTTTCGACTCTCCTTTGATTTAAAAAAAAAAATCTTGTGAGGAACTTTTCTTGATTCCCACCATCGTCCCATTTTCAGATCCGTTCAATGGAAGGATCCAGTTTCGTCGGATTTACATAATTATTAGTACTCCATTCCATTCAGTTTTCGGCATTTTGATACATTTAGAGTCCATTGTGAGTGCAGTGAAAGGGCCCGACTTCGGAAAGCTCGAGACAGGTGGCATCAGCTTAAGCGTGTGTGAGATTCATTGTGTTGTCTGATCACATAATAAAGAAATGATGAACATGGCAAAACCAACATAATCTTGCTCGTGATTATCAGAAAATGTTCCAGGATCAATGAGAATATGTGCTCACGTACCACCCACACAATCAAACGGAATAACCTGCAACCTTTAGTGAAACGCCTTTGTGCTTTGTGGCTTTGTGGAAAGCTTGTAGAATTATTCTAAGCAAGCCAATGAAGTTCCTTCTATTTTTTTTCTGCTAATTTTTTTGGAGATGTTAAAAATCAATTGGAAGCTCATTCCTAGCAATCCATGGCTGCAACACAGAACGGTATAAATCACGGCCTACATCGGGAGTGCAGCCTTGGTTGTACCAGACGACAAGGACACGGAATGCGACCTCGGTCGAACGAGGTCTCACGGGCGATAAAATCGTTTTTCAATATGATCGCATGCAGAAACTTCCCCCCCCTCCCCCCCCCCCCCTGCACGCAGCGACACGTCCAGTGAGCCGATGCTGCCACGANAACCCCCCCCCCCCCCCCCCTGCACGCAGCGACACGTCCAGTGAGCTGATGCTGCCTCGTGGCAGCATCAACTGACTGAACGAGGAAGTTTCTGTTCCTCCTCGCATGCCTTCTCGGCGCCGCTGCCGTGAGCTTCCTCATGCTTTGCGTTTCTTTTCTCCGTGTTACATTTTCTCGTTTCGTGACGCTCATTTTGTCGCCACTCGGCATGATGATCGGAACGCAGTTTCCCAATCTCAGCAAACATGATCCCAATAAGCGCTTCTTTTCTGGATTTAATGGGAAGGAAACATTGAAAAGTTTTCGATTGAAATGAAATTTAGATTTGCGGATTCCTGCCATTTCCCGTCTCGTGTCCAATAAGTCTCGGTAATAAGTAATGAATTAAATTTTATTCTGAAAGTACTAAACTTAGTACTTTGCAGGGAACGGCTATCCCTTTCCTGCTCTGCGGAGTACTGAAATCCTCCTTTCCTTTGCCGGGAGTGGAAAAATCATTTTCTCTTCCAAGTACAAAGAATAGAGATAATGTACAGGGTGGGCCAGAAGTAAGGAAACACGTTTGAACGGCTTTCGCTTTGATATTAGATATTATTTCGTCTCTACTCCTAATACATATTTGACCCTCTTTCCAGGTTATCAGAACCATGGCTGACAGCTCTCGGTTATCAATCCCGGAAATAATTCAAATTGTAAAGTGGTACTCCATTTCCCGGAATGCTGCTGAAGTTGATCAAGAAGCATTATGGCCGAATTCCTCCAATCCGAAAAAAAAAAACATTTTGAACCTCGTTCGACGAAACTGGAAATGTCCACGATGCGACCAAGATCCGTTAGAAATTACAAGAACAAAGAAACGGGTTATCGTTGGTCTTCAAAGAAGTCGCAAAAAAGTCATCAAATCTGGCTAGGACCAGCGTTCGACGAACGATTAAGGATCTCGGATTGAAGCCCTGTCACCCTCAATTACTTCATGCATTGAGCGATGATGATCCCGATCGTCGCTCTGAATTTACCGAAATCTTCCTGAACTTGGTCGCTGAAAATCCTTCTTCGCCGGACAGAGTTGTTTTGGACTGATGAAGCCATTTTCAAACTGAATGGGCATGTTAATCGGCGCAATTGCGTTTATTATGCCGTTGAGAATCGCCATGTCGTGATCACACAAGAGTTGAATTCCCCTGGCGTTGGTGCCTGGGCTGGAATTTGGTCCAGTGGCGTCATCGGACCGTTCTTCTTTCGTGACACCGTCACTGCAGATAGCTATCTGGAAAAGCTGAGTGAAGAAATCATTCCTACCATGGCATCTAAAATAAATTTTGGGCAAATCTTTATGCAAGACGGAGCTCCGGCCCACTATGCTCATTCGCGACTTCTTGGACGAAAAGTTTCCCGGTCGGTGGATTGGGCGGCGTGGATTTGACCCCAGCTGGCTTCTTTTTATGGGGTTCAATCAAAGACAGTATTTATGCAACGAAACCTCAGACGCTTCCAGCACTCAAGGAAGCAAAAGTTACTGCTATGCAGAACTTGCCGGTGGAATTATGTGAACGTGTTTGCCGATCGGTCCCAGAAAGACTGCAGTCGTGCAAATTCATGAACACATTGAAAAATTTTTGCGAAAAGATTTTATAGATATGATTACTTCGTGAACTTATGCTTTCACACATACTGCTTTTCTATTTCTGTTGCTTTTCAGAAAAAGTCTTGTTGATGTTCAAACGTGTTTCCTTGCTTCTGGCCCACCCTGTGCGTATAGTCCAAAAATTCAGAACCAGGAGGAAGGGAATCACGAATGTGATCCGACTTTGGCAGTAATAATTTAATATGAAGCCCTTCCGGAAAGGTTGATTCCTAAACGTTGATACTTCTGAATTCGAAATCCGGCGCAACTTTTCCTAATATACGTTCATTCTCTCACACTGTTGATCCATCCCCCCTATCTTTCTTCGCATTGCTCGCGAAATTCATGCAGCATCACAGGCCACATTGAATCAGACTGAGAAGAGGCATATCGCATACGAATGAGCACGATTCGAGTTCAAGGCTCGTTGAAGCTCGATGAGGTTCATCGCCTTCCACATCCGAATGGGAGAGATAACCCAAGTGGATCCTTTCTAGACTGCCTCTCCAGATATTCAATACGCGTTTGTCAGAATTTCAATTTGTTTTCCATATTTAAAATCGGTATTGGTTGCGTAGAATGCCGAAGAATCCTGTACACAGTCTTTATGAGTAACTATATATAATGGAGGGGCTCGGCTAGGATGTGGGGAGATACGAGTATACTCGTATACTGTTCATATTTTATGATGAATCCTGACAACTGTTTCATACGCGCTTCGAGACGTAGCATTAACTAATTTATATTGGTAGGAAGGTGCTGCTCCAAGAGGTAAATGAGACTTTTTGATAACTTATGTCAAGTAGATGCGCATGCAAAGGAAAGGAAAGCCAGAGAAATTGCGGGCATGAAAATTTTTCTTCAAACAAAAAGTTTCATTTGCCAGAGGGACATTCTCGTCCGGGAGGCATCCAGGAGTCCACGCCTCCGGGATAGCTCGTCGTCTGATTCCATGGCTGAAATGGAAAATCAAAATAAAGGATTCCTCGGGGAGGCTCTAAATGCACTTTGCAAGCCATCATAATGGTAAACCTGGATTACATTAGTTCACGAGCTACACCGACGACGTAGCTCTTGAGGAATCACATGACCATCGATATCTGGCAGTAAAGCTACCCTAGTGGCATATAACACTGAAACAATGTTGATTCAATATCCCAACGTTGACTCATTGATATATGCTACTAGGGTAGTCTATTATGGAAAAGCCCCAACCGCTCATTCGATGGAACCAAATGGAAACCCTGGTTTCTTTGTATTTTGAAAGGAAGAAGACTCACGAGGAGTTCCCCCTGATTGTTGAAGCATCGCGTATAATGAGGATCGTAACGCATGAGATGTTGAAAGCCTTCCATGTCGACGCCCGACCAGTCAAACTCGTTCAGATAGTCCACCAGGGTCTGGTCCTCCGACACCATGTATTCATAGCCTCCATCCCTGTTGGAAGAGAAATCAATTTCCGGAATTGAATGTCTGAACGGGAGACGAATTGCAAAATAGGGCAGGGGAGGAAAACAGCATACGGGTCGAGCCAGACGTCAGTGATGCCGAACAGAGAGAAGATGCTCTCGAAATGTGGGGTAACTCATGCAGACAGGAAAATTCATGGCAGGGTAATACTGGAAGAAAGCCATACACATCTCTTCCGTTGTTCCGAAACCACTCACGGTCACCGAATCCCGATTCGACGAATCATAGTCGCATTCTGTATATGAAAATATACATAGTTCGAGTGATAGGTCTCGATCTGATAAAAAAAATTGCTCATTGCACAATAGGCAATTACAAAGAACTAACCCATGATGAGTTGATCTCCAGGATAAAGGGTGATGTGTTCCCGAAAGACTCGGACCTGTTGATAATCGAAGTCATAATTGTTGTCATTTTGCAGCCAGGGCAATTCCTCGCCGTTTCGGAACAGCCGAACTCGCATTCTCCTTCCCGTATTTAAGTAGTGGATTTCCGTAGAATTCTCCGAAGGTGCCATGTTTACTAATGGAGAATGGTTTGGGAATTCTCGAAGAGACTCACCGAGCAAATGAGAATGGAGAAAGCCGGAGAAGATGTGAATCCCTTCAGGTGGGAAGGCGATTTCGGTACACTTGAAGTTACAGAGGCCGACATTCATGAAATGGCTTTGTCTTCCGGGGGTTATCTGAGACAAAGACCGAGACAAAGTTCGTGATTCGCCAGGCCACAAACAGATCACGACTACGTGCTGATCATAGCGTGAGTTCAACTAAAGAAAAAAATACACAGATAACTTAACTGTTATCTGTGTATTTTTTTGTTTGAAGTTTGTTTGAACAGGAGCCCCGTTTGCCAGAGTATACGCGTAATTCAATAGTTACACTGGTTGTACAGAACTTTAACTAGGAGGTAAAAAAAAATGTAAACCATTCATAATGATCCTCATTCCCTGTAACTGCAAACACAAAAAATCTAATATTCAACAGCTATCATTATTAGTTACTCATGATGATGTAGAGCAGGGGCGTCAAACTGGCGTGTCGAATCCAGCCCCCGAGTACATTTTGTCCTGCCCACAAAATCCTCTTCGACAGCATGTTTCAGAAAATTTTTGCAAATTTCAACTTGCTATCATTAAAAAACTGGTGAGATTTGCTTCTAAGGCCACCATCCACCACTAAACCAATCCATCCGGCCCTCAGCTAAATCGAGCTTGACATCCCTGATGAATGTCTGGTACTTTTTCTTTTGTACTTTGTACTTTTCTGTACAAATTCAGCTTGTCTTTTAGGTGAGAGCTAGTGATGCAAAGGCGGACACTATCCAAGAGCGTACGAATGACTAATTACTTTTCAGAAAATGTTTCGCACTGACCACTCTCCTGAGTATACCGCAGCCAAGACAACAAGATGGGATTCAATCAAACGCAAAAGCCCCTAAAATGGAAAGAATCGATGACAGACCGATGCGGGATGGAGGCTGGAGCCGACTCCCAGGGTTGCCATCTCCAGGGGTCGAAGGACGTCCGTGTAGTAGACGGTGAGGCCGGAATCATCCTGGATGCCTGACACCCCTTCAGGATTATCGTAATGCATTTCCATCATGAAGAACATTCCGCCTTCAGGGAGAACGTATCCCACGTTTTCTGGATACGTCTCCCCCTATCCAATGGAAACAGTGGTGTGTGTATTTAAGAATATCAAAAGCAACGGCAATCACGATAAGCAGACTGTCTCACGAAACATGAGAGTCACGAAGCAATAGTAGCTAATGGAAAAGAAAAGTAAATGAATTTAAAAATCGTTGGCTTTCATACCTCACCGCCGACGGCCCACGCGATGAGGACGCTTCGACAGTGATTCCATTCCTGTGGGTGATCGGGACCGTAGCACAGGACCCCGTCATGCTCCGCCCACGAGTTGAACACGTCCACCAGCTCATCAGGGATGCTGCAGGCGTACAGGAGCAAGTGATGCACGTACTTCTCGTTCCCCGGTTTCACGTACGGCTTGTACTGGTCGCAGACGAGAATGAATCTCGGATCTGATAAGCATTTCCACAATGTTGCAAGTGGAGTGATTCTCTTAAACTCACGCCGATGATGTGGTGCGTGACGTCTACTACGGGTGTCTTTTGGATGGTGCACCAGTAAGTGGTATCCAATGTCGGAATAACCATTTCGCTGCTCACGATCCATTCCTTGATCGACGGATCATCGGGGATATCACCTGTTATAATGTCATGAGTTTTTGCATCAGATGCATTTTGATTCCCATGACAGGACATAGATAATCATGCTAATTAAAAATAAGCATTTCATTGATAAGAAAAGACTTCTACCACTATGAATTTCCAGCGGCGCCTCTGATTTGGTGCGTTACAATCAGCGCCTGATTTTGGTTTGTGATGAACAAACAATCATTGGAATCAATCAACCATTACCGGCAATCTGAAAGAAATCATCCGGCGGTATGTGGCGATTGGTACGAAACTTGCAGGCTTTTCTCTGAAACTCATGTTGGAATTCCCTTTAACCTATTTTTATAGAACATTTATGTTCCACGGGGTGGGGAGGTGATTGTTTACCTCAAAGCCAATCAGAAAGGAAGATAGAATTAGTGGATAACTGACTGAGTATTCAGCAGCGAATGAGTGTCAACAAGCACTTGTACAAACATGAAAATGCGTCAGAGTTACGCCGTCTGTATGCCATTCGACGGAACGAACTGCCAACCCACCCAAGGTTGTGACCTATTAACTACTACTAACATACTGAGTATCATCACACTGAATATTACCAAGTAATACATAAGTGTTATATAAATGTGCAAAGCATTAGTACATGATACTTTTAAGTTTACTAGGTATTTTTGAGACACCCTGTATACAGTATATCATTGGAGATTTTCGGGCTTACCTAGTGGCGGGTCGAGTAGATACAAGGATTTTGTTCCCCTATTGTCACTTCCGTGATAAAATGGATCCATTCCCTCTGGATCTGTATCCCCGTAAGCATATATCACTTTCACCGTATCTCCCTGCGTGAGAGAAAAAGAAGTGTCAAGTTCGAACACAGTAGCTCCTTAATCTGACGATGCATCCTCGAAAAATGCTTTAGGCCTTTCTCTTCTGATACGATTGAAGAGATTTGCACGAGGACATGCATGGTGCAGCTTCACTGACCGTGATGTGGAAGTCTTGTTCGAGGTCGCAGGTGTCGAATTCCCTCGTGAATCGAATGATGGTCGCTGTGTCTGTTTCCACAGCAGAAATCAGATTGTAATTGGGCACATCGTCTACTCTCGGAAGTTCATGGTCCACGGGTACGTGTCTATCCTGCGATATCACCCAAACAATCTTGCCAATCCATGACGGTTGTACTATTATAAAATATTGAGAGAACTCACATCGAAGAAGACTCGTCCATCCTTGATCCAAGCCGTGATGACGTCGGAATCTCGCATCCCTCCCGTAGGAGAGAATCCCAATCCCACCCATCCCAGTGTCTGGACGGTGTATTCAAACTCGATGACCTTGGTTTCGAGATGAGGCGTCCATGCCAAGTGCACCTTGCCCAATGGATCCAATATTGCCTCTCGTTCCCACCCACTCACATGGGGCAAGGAAATCCCTCCGATCACGAGGCAGAAGCCCAGGGTGAAACGAATCGCCTTCGATACCATTCCGTTAGCGATCGATTCAGGGAATCCCAGTGACGGAGATTCTTTTCATCTTCATGTTAGTACCGTTTATCTATGAATCTGAAGAGATACTTTAGAATTTCTGTGAGCACACAGGGCACTCCATGGATTCTCGGGTGAAGAGGCATGTTTGGAGGTAATCTCAGGTAGGCAAACTTCGTGTGACCTGTCCCAGTCGATTCCGCAATGTCTCGGTTGAGTCCACTTGCTCCCGGAATCTCCACAGCTCAGAGTCCACATGAATCACGTTTTGACTCATAGAGAATTTTATCTAAAGATAAAATAAGTTTGAATTTCGTACAATGAATTAAACACAACGGAACATGGAATCGACATTTCTTGAAGCATTAGGGAATATGCAGCCCAAGGGCACCCGGCCTTGTTTTTTCATAACCAGTCGAGGGACCTCAGCTTCGTTGCGGTCCGCTTGATAATCAATCGAAAATTCTCGACTGCCTGCCGATTGGTGTGTAAGCGTGGCCCAGTTTTCTTATCCGACTCTCCCACCACCTGTAAACCTCACCTATATTACCATTCAACGATTATGGTCAATCTGTTCAAATCAACGTCACGTGCGAGGCAGGGCGAATAAAAGCAAAAGGAATTCTCCTGGGTAAAAGGAAGAATTGCATATCCCACCACGTCCACTGAACAGGATGACCACGAATTTTCTGATGAAATTACGGAGGTGCAAAACCCAACACAACTTTTTGCTAGTTAAATAAATTGCAAGTTCCTTCATTTCCAACGCATGCCCTTCACTCTATACCAGAGGTGCACAATATACAGCCCGCGGGGCCCTTGCTCGTGGCCCACCATGATTGGCGCCTTCTCCCACATTCACGTTAGACGGTCCATTTCAACAAATGAAGGATTAGCAAGTCGTTGAGAATGAACACAATGTCTTAAAATCATTGCACCGGAATGCTCATTGTTTAGAGGTAGAAATCCATCTTCAGAAGCTGAAGAGAGCACGGGAGCGGAGAAAAAACTTTTTTTCGCTCAGGTGATGCAAAAAAGGAATTGTGAAATAAGTTATCAGATGCAAGAACCCGCATATCCATCCATTAGCTCTTAAGATCTTCATACCTGCCCGAACTCTTTTCGACTGAGACACTTGAACGGGAAAATACAGTGTAGATGAACCGGGATCGTTAGGAACGAAAGTGAAAAAACTGCGAGTGGTGACTGAAAAAGGAGTTTTCATGATAGCTCCGATAGTGTGTGGGGCCTCCCCTATAGCACGAAGCGCTGCACCCTTCCAGGTGCGGCCGCCATCTCACTGAAGTCGCGCGAGCAAGTACCTGTAGTTCATAGCAGACACATGGAGAGGGGGAGGAGCAAAAGAGGCAACTTGCCTCGGGCTATATGCCTGGGGACATCCACGCTGGGACCCAACCACTGAGCTAAGAAATAGAACTGGAGATGGCGCGGCCATAGGAGTAGCATAGGAAAACGGGTGCATTTTGAAGCCATATTGGTTGGGTTTTGGCTAAAGCGGGCCTGCGGTGAGCATCGGCCGAGTAATGGAGCAGGTACCGCGGGAACACTGGAGCAGCACTTCTGAATACGGAAGCATGCCCTGCCAACACCCGCCAACACCTCTACCATGCACCTTGTGGTCGCCCTTCGTTTCCTTTAGCCTGTTTACCTTTGAGCGTTCACTCGAAGTTCTTTTGACTTTATGCCTTAGACTTGCTGTAAAATATGTCGACTGTGATGATGCAAGGGCGGCGTAACGTTATCGCCTTCGTAGGCCCAGCAATCTCAGCAAAGGCAGTCCTGGAACTTGGAGACCCACTCGAGAAATAGGAGACTCGCCCACATG